TGTGGCACTCTACCCAGGGCGGCAGCTTGAGGTTGTCTGGAAAAAAAAAAAAAAAGGAAAAGAAAAGAAAGGCTGGGGTAGGAGGATGGCTTGAGCCCAGGAGTCTGAGAGCTGTGACACCACTGTATTCTAGTCAGGGCAACAGAGTGAATCTGTCTCCAAAAAAGGAAAACACAAGTGCACAAGCTGAAGGTTATGGAGCGTATGTAGTAAGGAGACAGTTGTATGTTACTTGTTCTGGAAGGCTGGCAGCAGAAGAAAGATAAGAAACAGGGAGGTAGCTAAAGAGGTCATGAGAAAGCTATGCTTAAAATTGGGGAAATCTGTGTGTTAGAAAAGAAAGCAGTAACGGAAGGGCTGAAAATGGGATTGAAACATCTTTGATGACTTTGTGTCCTCCAGGGGCACACTGTGCATTTGCCTCTTCTTTGGTTTCAGAGTCCTCTGCTTGGACTGTGGTGAACAGACTCCCCGAAGGGTGCTGCAGGAGCGCTTCCAAGCCCTAAACCCTGACTGGAGTGCTGAGGCCCATGGCGTGGCTCCTGATGGCGATGTCTTTCTCTCAGAGGAGCAGGTCCAGAGCTTTCAGGTACCATCATGTGTTCGATGTGGAGGCCCTCTGAAACCAGATGTTGTTTTCTTCGGAGACACAGTGAACCCTGACAAGGTTGATTTTGTGCACAAACGTGTCAAAGAAGCCGACTCTCTCTTGGTGATAGGATCATCCTTGCAGGTACCTGACTTGGTCAGAGTGGTAGCTGCCCCTTTTGCAGGATTGGGAGCTCTGGAGAGGGTCCTTCTTTGGTTTAACTTATCCTGGATCTGGAGAGCTCTTAACGTATGTCTTCTCCCTGTGCAGGTGTACTCCGGTTACAGGTTTATCCTCACTGCCAGGGAGAAGAAGCTACCGATAGCAATACTGAACATTGGGCCCACACGGTCTGATGACTTGGCATGTCTAAAACTGAATTCCCGTTGTGGAGAGTTGCTGCCTTTAATAGATCCACACTGACCACAGCCTGATGTTCCTGAGCCAAGAACAGGGACTTGTACTGCTGCTAAAGGTAAATGTCTTCTCAGATAACAGATTCCAGTTCCCATTCACCTGAGAGTAGTGGGGTACACTAAAAAACTATAAAAGGTTCTAAGTGTTTTAATATATGACCATTCTTTTTTTTTTAGAGACAGAGTCTCATTTTGTCACCCTTGGTAGAGTGCCATGGCGTCACAGATAACAGCAACCCCTAGCTCTTGGCCAGGGCCGTTTGAACCTGCCACCCTTGGTGTATGGGGCTGGCACCCTACTCACTGAGCCACAGGTGCCACCCAATATATGACCATTCTTAATTAAAACTAATTTTTATGTACATTAAGGCATAGTTTTTCAAGTTCTATACATATAGCTATTTAAGACACCAACTGTTCCAAAATCTGCCGTTGCTTTTTCCCCATTTTTAAAAATAGTAGCTTTTTTTTCTTTGAGACAGAGGTCACTCTATTGCCCAGGCTAGAGTGCCATGGTATCATATCTCCAGCAACCTGAAACTCGTGGGCTTAAGCAATCCTCTTGCCTCAGCCTCTCAAGGGCACTACAGGTGCCCACTACAGTGCTCAGCTATTTTTAGAAATGAGGTATCACTCTTGCTCAGGCTGGTCTCGAACTTCTGAGCTCAAGCAGTCTACCTGCCTTGGCCTCCCAAAGTGCTAGGATTACAGCTGTGAGTCACTGTGCCCAGCCAAAAATAATAGCTTTAACTGAGATTTAATTCACATAAAGTTTTACCTCCAAAAGTGTACAAGCAGGCCCCCAAGTTACAAACATCTGACTTGTGTACTTGTGTATAACTCACACTTATGGAGAGGTTATTATAGGTAATAGGTTAATGTACCTGTCCTAAGTTACATATAAATTCAACTTAAGAACAAACCTACAGACCTATCTCATTTGTAACAAGGGGACTGCATGTACACTAAACTTGTTTTTATTCATGGGCATCATAGCTCACAGCAACCTCAGACTCTGGCGCTCAAATGATCTTCTTGCCTCAGCCTCTCAAGTAGCTGGGACAACAAGCACCCACCACAATGCCCAGTTTTATTTTATTTTATTTTATTTTATTTTATTTTATTATTTATTTATTTGTTTTTGAGTCAGAGTCTCAGTATGTCGCCCTTGGTAGAGTACTGTGGCATCACAGCTCACAGCAACTTCAAACTCCTGGGTTTGAACACTCCTTTTGCCTCAGCTTCCTGAGTAGCTGGGACTACAGGTGTCTGCCACAATGCCTGGGTAGTTTTTCTATTTTTAGTAGAGATGGGGATGTCACTTTTGTTCAGGCTTGTCTTGAACTCCTGAGTTGCTATAATCCACCTGAGATTATAGGTGTGAGCCAAGTGTATTTGCTTTTAAATACACAATTGTCCATTGATTACTACTATCTAATTCCAGAATATTTTCATCATCCCAAGAAGAAATCTTGGCTCCTGCCAGGACCAATGGCTCACCCCTGTAATGCTAGCACTTTGGGAGGCTGAGGCAAGTGGATTGCCTGAGTTTAGGAGTTCGAAACCAGCCTGAGCAACAGTGAGACCTCATCTCTAAAAAAAAATAGCCCAGCTGGTTGGTGCCTGTGGCTCAAAGATGTAGGATGCCAGCCTCATATGCCGGAGGTGGCGGGTTCAAACCCAGCCCTGGCCAAAAACAACAACAACAAAATAGCCCAGTGTTGTGGCAGGTGCCTGTAGTCCTAGCTACTTGCAAGGCTGAGGCAAGAGGATTGTTTGAAACCAAGAGTTTGAGGGTGACAAAGTGAGACTCTGTCTCAAAAAAAAAAAAAA